AAATAAATAACTATACCTAAAATATAGGACAAGTTCATAAAACAATTTTTTATAAATATCCCAGATGTTGTCCAAGACAAGTGTAAAGCCTTAGAATAACCAAAGGTAATGAATGAATGTTCAAATACTTAAAGCTCATATAATTATATATATCTACTAACAAAATAATTATATCAATAGATCTTAAGTAACAATATCTTATATGAATAATATATTAAGTAATAACAAATATTATAGTAATAGAAGATATACGGTGCCCATAGAATATTTATTTCGAAGGGTCGATTTCTTGTATACACCCTAACTTTTTGACAGTTTCTTCAGTATGATTAACCATATGGTGTTAAATTACACGAAAAACGATAGCAAAGGTAATCTGCACTTTGGAAATAATAATAACAGCGTGTAAAGTTTATTCAATCATTATGCTGCAATGGTTTTTATTTATAAAAAAGAATCATGTTTTACTCCCAACAATCGCACACTAGGCAATTAAATAAGCACAGTTCTTTAAAATATTTTCTCGAGCATTCCGAATTATTTTATTGGATTCATCAATTCATCGGTATAAATATTTATAATTTTATGATATAAACCCTTTACGATTATATTGAGGTTTACTCTGTGTGTTTAGGTTAAGTATTTTATATTTCGATAGCCGATGTACTACGTTATACAGCAGACACATTGTTCAACTATAAAGGTATTGGTTTGACGCAGGATAAACTGACTGTCCTGTAAATGTATTGCGTTAATTATATTGAATTTGGAGAGAACCAAAAAGTCAGGAAGTAAACATTTCCGGAGGTTATGAACATAATTGTATAATTCAACACTCGTGTAAATATAGTACAACACTTGTAACTGCAGTCGAGGAAATGAAAACAAATATAAAATAATTATTTGATTTTTAATATTTGTATTTGGTTTTCAAACAGAAACTTTAATTTAACAGTATATAACAGTGTATAATATGTCATTTGTATTCGTGAAATTTAAAACCGTATTAAAATAAATTTAAAGTTGAATGTTTATATGTATAAAAAAAAAAAAAAAAAAATACAATCTTTCACTTATAAATGATGACGTATAGTGAAAAATACTTGGAAACTGCCAGCAGCTGCAGATGTCAATATTATGTCACTAGTCCTAATTCATTTTAAAAATTAACTTTTTTGAAATTCTTATTTTACAAAAAAATAATGTATGTCTTTCTTGTGGACATAAAAATCAAGTTTTAAAATCCATATTCCTTCCCTCGAAAAATTAAGATCACTTGAAACGACCAGTAATACGATTTTCTAGCCCTATCCCAGCAAATTATAAGTGATACAACATATTTTTTTTTTCAAAATTATAATGTACGCATACTATAATAAATATTCAATCTTAGTTTTAAAATTATCTTATCCCGTAGAACGACGCTTATAATGAAAAAAAAAACATTGAAGTAAACAGCGACAAGTAAGTAGCAACACTAGCAGCCACAGGCATGCGCAGACTTCAATTTCCGGTCGAGCATACGTAGAACAATTAATGCCCCAATACTTGGACAGTATCACTTATTATTTATTTATTTATTTTTTTTTTTTAACACATAAATGTACATTCTAATTGTAAATTAAAAATTGTAAATAATGGAATCGAGTTGTATGTGCACACAACATTAATGTGCTTATTTCTAGACATATATTTTTGAAGTTGAAAATAAAATGATATAAATATATAATTATGAATAAAAAGAAGAAAACACAAAATTTAAAAAAAAAAAAACTTGGTTTAATTAACAAAAAATCGTATGTACATAATATAATATAAACTTAATCGTGTAATAATTTTAATTAAGGAATTATAAATGATTTCAGCTCCTATTTTTCCTATACTTTTGAATTCGTCAATGACCATGTCAACATTAATGTTGGATGTCAGTTTTGATTCAGTAAACATTAATTATAAACTATTAAGTCGGTCTTGATGTATAGTACTCTTAAAGTTATTTTTTACTATTGTTAATTTAGAAAATACTCGTTCGCGGGAACAACTCGTAACTGCAGGTATTACGCTGAATAATTTCAGTACAGTGAAAAATCCAATAAATAATTTTATGTAATTATTCATTTTCGTGTAATCTAGCCACTAATGTATTGATTCATTATTAGTATTAGTATATCTGTATATGGTTGAACTTTAATTGAGCCCCTAAAAAGATTCCGGCGGAGCCGGGGCTCGACCGGCTCGCCCCTGCGCACGCCTATGCTAGCAGCATTTCACTGTTTTTTTTTTCTGAATAAAAAACAATCTTGTATTAGGTGTTTTTTTACAATACAATATTACGATTGGCGACAAAAGTATTATCGTTATCGTATTGATATTCATTTTCATGTGTGCCGTCGTTCGACCGTTGTTGTCGACTATACAATATTAATAATTCTAATTCATATGCATCGTATGACTTTAAACATGAAATCCTTGATTATATTAATATCATTAACGGTTTTATTTATTTGCTCTGTTTTAAAATATGAGCGAATTACGAATTTTACTAGTATAAACGACTAAAAATAATATAAGTGTCTTTGTAAAACAAAATCACGAATTTTACCTAAACAATAATGATATAATATTATTATTAATGTGATGATATAATGAAATTTCAATATCATTAGTGCCGCATCATATTTTATTAAGGGGACGTCAGTTCACTATTTTTGTAATTTTCCTTTTCATCCCACGCGCGACGTAGCCTGGCAATTGCGTTCATCAGAACCTATTGTGTATTGTTAGCTTTAATATTTACAATATTTGAGTGAATAGGTGATATAATCAAACTTAAAATTAAGAACATCGTCAGAGTTTGTTCAACGGATCTATATTTTTTTTATGAGAATTTTTAAATTTCATAATATTTTTCATATCGTACTCACAACTCGAATTCTTGTGGAATTTAATAATATGATTATTTAAAAACAACAATTTTAAATAATGATAATAAAGAAAAACGAACAAAAAAATTGAGTGTTTTTATTCATTTTATTATGTATTATTTTATTTAAATATTATTGTCTACGCCATATTTATAAATGCAATAACCGTGTCACCTATACGGCGGCATACACACACACGCGCACGCTCGATGTAAAGTCTGAACGCGAGAGTTACTTTTTTGTCTTTTCTATGCTCGTTCTCATTGTCGTCTCGACGATAGCTTATTAAAAACCAATAAGTATAATATAATAATAATAACTAATAATGTTTTTCGATTATCATCGCGCGTTCGACATCGTATAATAATAATAATATTATAACAACATACCAACCACAGCATACAACACGGCGTGCGTCGTATTATAATAATAATAATAATAATAATAATAATAATATTATTATTATTAGGTATGTGATTGGGGCAGAAATGTCTGGTCATAATGATCGTGTGTGGTATACACGATGGACTTCCAGATATCGAAAACGGATGTATGTGCGTATATATATTTAGTTTAATGTTTAAACGATCATTTATTATATTAATACGATCTTATCGCGTGTTGCGCGGGCCAAGATTATTAGCCGGTCCCGCCGAGGTGGATTGATCTCTCTCACTCGCTCTCTCACTCTCTCTCTCTCTCTATATATATATATATTTATGCGTATAATATTTATTTCCCTCTCGCTCATCATTATTATGTCTTTGAGTTTACTTCTCTGTCTCTCTCGGTTCTCGATATCAGGTGTTGTGGGCGGTGACGATGAGGGGACGAGAATGGTGTTGGAAGGAATACATGAGAAAAAAAAATCATAACATCCAAGTCACCGGAAACATATTTCGTTATAAATCAAAAACGGACGCGATAACGATAAGTGCGCGTGTAAAGTCTGACGTAGTATAGTGTTATACTGTAAAGTATAGGCAATATTGATATAATATAATGAACCACGGCGACGTTCGAATATTAATGCATGCAAATACCTATTACAGCCATGCACGACAAAATATTATGTACGTCTAAGTTACGCGTGAAATTCGAACACAAGAATGCGTTATTTTTGATCTTCTAACCAAAACAAACGAGTATCGCTCACTCTTTGCGGGTCACGTCCTCCAACGGTTATCATCGAATTTCACGTGATCAAAATGTGCCACTGCACTACGTCCATCGAAATAGTGTACTCGTTTACCTTTTTAAAAAAATCAGGCATATTAGGGGTCTATTCACTCGTATATATTATTAAAGCCAAATACAGAAAATTGATAGCCAAACAAAAACCTGCAACATATTCGTGTGTCGGGATACTTAATATATTATTACACACCCCGTAATAGGACTATAAAAGGAGTGTATAGGACGACCCGGTATAATAACGTGCAACGATGAAAAATAAAATGTTTCAATGTGCGATTTTAATGTATAATTAATATTTAAGTACTACAAAATTCAATATAAAAAAAAAAAAAAAAAAATACACATATTATACATATTACACTGAATAACGGAATAAAATTTATAATTACAATACACGCGAGTATAACGTATACACATAAATAGTATTTAGAGTCAACAAATACGAGCACGGTAAGAACGGTATACAAAATAGAATCGATACGACCGAAAATTGTTAATAATATGTATGTACAGAAATAATAGTTATATAGAAAATAAATAAATATAATATACATATCGATATTTATCGTGACACGGTTCCCATGTATAATGTATTATATTACGACTTCTTTACGAAATGTGTTGTTCGATCGTATATATAGGAAGACAGCGGTTGAAAAACAGAATTTAAAATTAATCGATTCGCAAAGATGTGCGTATGTACATTAATATTATGTATTAATAATATAGTCTATAAATTATATATTTAGTCACAAAAACGATGTATATCATACACATAACAAACCCTGTAATAATAATTCATATTAAATAGTAATAATAATACGTTAACTCTAATTAATAATTATAAAACGTATAGGTACTCTTACATACCTAATGATAATATAATATGTATATTATAATATTACATAAACACGGATAAATAATAATAATAATAATAATAAAAACAGTGTCGCTCGAGATAAAGCGAATCATCACAGAACCTATGCGGTTTTCGAATATATATATACACACAATAAAACAATCGAATATCGCAACAAATGTGTTATTATACTTACATTATACACAATATTATGACGTTGTGTACAATTTCTCGCGCGGCGCACGAGTCTGCGAAAATAAATAAAATAATAAAATAGTATATAATATTAAAAATCGCAAAGAGAAGAACGTAATATAATGTACAACGTGTTAAGTTTGATTTCGAACGCGTTTCGCGAGTCGCTCAGGCTTTCATACGTTGTTCCGTGTTAAGCCCGCCGACCAGATCACCACCAGACGACGGCTTCAACTGCTGTAGCAAGTCTTCCGGACGTCCGCAAGTATGACGCTGAACTCTTCGTCCGGTTTGCCGCCGCCGCCTCCGACAGCCAACACCTGACCTGCGGCGGCCGCTGCGGCCGCGGCCACGCTCTGCATGTTGGCCGTGGCCGGTACGTTCTGCACGTCGGGATAGTGCTGTGGCGGCAGACCGTCCAGAGACGCGTAACCGCCGAACTCGCTTTTTATACCGCAGTTGTTGAGCAGATACGACGGGCCGTGGTGCTGCTGTTGGTGGTGATGGTGCACGTCCTGATGCACGACGTGTTGTACCATCGCCGGTGAATAGTAAGAGCCGTACTGTTGCTGTTGCTGCTGCTGCTGCTGCTGCTGTTGCTGCTGGAGATGATGCTGGTGGTGGTGGTGTTGTTGTTGTTGTTGTTGTTGTTGTTGTTGCGGTGGTTGGTGGTGTGATTGTTGTATACCGGCAAACATGATGTGTTGTTGTTGCTGCTGCTGCTGTTGCTGCTGATAGTTGTGATTGTTGTCTGGCTGTTGGGCTATGTATTTTAAGTACCGATCGAGTTCGGAGCCGGCTCCGGCGGACGACGACGCGTCCACCGCGACGTCGGACTGCTGAGATCTGGGCCGCTGTAGGTTTGCCAACAGCATTTCCGAGGGCGTTTGGTGGTGTTCGAAGCCCATCTCGATGATTTCGCCGCCACCGCCTCTGCCCGCACCCGCACCGTGGTAGTCGTTGCCCGTCGACTGTTGTCTGTGCTGTTGCAAGCCCTGCAAGTTGTGGTGGTGGTCTTCTTGCTGCTGTTGCAGTATGCTTCCGGCGGCTGTAAAACGAAAAACGAAAAATATGAGAAACGCTGTCGACGCGAGTACAATCTAATATTGTGGGGAGCACCTCTGAACCGTGCGAGCAGTCCGCGCACACTTACCGTGGTATCCGTCAGACGGAGTTCTGCCGGCCGCGATGGCCGTGGCCGACGAAAGGCTGCTCGTATAGACGGCGGTGCCGGCAGCGTGAAGTCCACTGGTCGAGTAGAACGGCCTGTTGGCGTAATGTGGTTGCTGCTGTTGCTGTTGCTGCTGCTGCTGCTGCTGCTGTTGTTGTTGTTGTTGTTGTTGTTGCTGTTGTTGTTGATGGTGTTGCGAGTTGGGTCCTAGTACCTGCTGGTCTTGGGACGTGGCTATCGGCGGGTAAAACGTACCGGTCACTAAATTGTTGTGTTCGTACGCCAATCGTTGATTGGTGCACATCATCACCATGCCCTTGGCCACTCCCATGGCCGCTATCGAACCGGGAGCCGGTTGATAAGACGACGTCTGACTGTTGTTGTTGTTGTTAAATTGTCGATGGTGGTTGTTGTTGTTGTTCAGCAGTTTCTGTCCACCGACGCTTCCGTAATAGCCGCCAAAGTCGTCGAGTTCGTACTTGACAACGTCGGTCCGGTGGTACGGGTGGTGCAAGTGCTGGTGGCCGTGGTGTTGATGGTGATGCGAGTGGTGGTGTGGGTCTTTGCCTGCGCCCGCGGCCGGTTCCATGGGCGACAGCTCGGGCGTGGGAAGCGTGGGCGTCTTGCTGGCCGACCGCTGCTGCAGCTGCAGTCCGCCGTCCGGGGCCTGTGCACCGCCTATCTCGTCGGTGGCCGCGGCCGGGCCGGCGGGTTTGTCCGGATCGGGACTGCACGTGGGCGAAGACTCGGGAGTGATGACCTCGGACACGCGGACGGGCGAGTACGGGCTCTCGCTGTTCGGGTAGTACGGCGACGTCGTCTTCGACGGGCTGTACGGCTGATACGCGTACGGTTGCTGCTGGTGGACGGCCGGCGACGAGTACGACGACGAGCTCTGGTACGGCGAGCTGGACGGGTACTGGACCAGCTTGACCTGGCCTGCCGAGTTCGGGCGCCGGGACGTGGGCGATTGTCCGGAGCCCCCCTGCGCCGCCGCCGACGACACCCCGACCACGGTAGTCGGCGAGCCCGCGCGCTGCTTGTTGTGCTTCCTGCGCCTGGGCCTGTACTTGTAGTTGGGGTGTTCTTGCATGTGGATCACCCGCAGCCGTTCAGCTTCCTCCACGTACGGCCGACGATCCTGCGGCGTCAGACTTCGCCATTTTTTTCCTGGAACACGCATTAATAGTCACGTTAGTCACAGATCGTTCAATTCGTAAAATCAGATTGTAGGTATACGGTAATTTTAGACAGGACGTTTATCGGTGAGGGGGATGGTGGTGGTGGTTACGTTTTGAGTTTAACTGTCATCGAATAATTCATGATTTGTCTACATATATATTACGATACGAACGCGAAAGCGCTCGACTTCTTGTATAATTACACGCTATTACTGCTAAGAAATTAAAAATGTTGTATTTTAGATTCTGAGCTCTAAACATCTGACTGAAATGGACGTACATCACTGCAATGCGGCTACGACAACGTTCAGAGTAATAATATTATGTTATTGCAGCACAACATTGATGATCGGTAATTTTTTTTTATACTAGTGTGCGCGAGCACAACGCTTCAAATCAACGACAAACTCTGGTGCCAATATCGTAACGTTGGTGACACCAGCTAGATCGTATTATTTACGAGTATATAGGATTATATGTAATCATATAGAACAAAGTAAGGGGAAAAACATCTAGTATTATAAGGCTCGTTGAGTTTTTTTTTTTTTTTTTTATCGGTGGTGATTAGCACCATAATACTCCTATCCCCACGACGGTATCATACCATCCAAATTTGCCGCACTAGTCACGACTCTGTAACGACCGATATTAAAATACCTACGAATAGAAAATAAAATTTAAAAAAAACTCCATTTCGAATAAATCTCTAAAGGTCATTGTAATAATCGCCTTATCAGAGAGATCGGATCCCGGGCGGTGGTAGGTATTAGACTGATGGATAGTCACTATACAGTGGCCACTGCTGGGTCTCGTCGGCGCTGATGATATAATATTATTATTACGGTAGTCCGGCCTAAGCGTACCACTCGTTTGTTATTATTGTGATCACCTCCACTCTAATCGACTGCCGATCGAAAAACCGAATCCAGAAGCACCGGACGGATTAACTATACGTATATCATTATCGTCGGTGATATCTATCGTCGTTCCGTCGCGGCAGTCTCCGCGCTCGTTTACCATAATAAAATAATAATAACAATAATACGATTATCGTACACGACCGCCGTCGCGAGCGAGTGTGAAGAACGACAGAAAACAGAAACACTCAGCCGAGGGGATCGGTTTAAGCGTACATGGCATGGGTATTAAATGTACATTGTATAATAACTTACAAGGCGCGTATAATAATAATATATTCGTTACAACAAGGTACACTGCAATCTCCGGTAGCGTGTGGGGGGGGGGACTAAGAGGGACTATATGAACGTAATGTAAAGTGTTGTCTCCCGCGATGTCGTCTCGCACTCTCGTTTCTCATAAGACGATTTCGTAGGCGTTTCGATTGAAAGGTACTTGCGCGTGACATTTATTTTTCAAAAATATTTCTTTTTTCTCTTTCAAGTGAAACGCATTATTCGAAGTATTATTACGGTTTATAAGATAGAAAGACTCGTATAATTTACGTTACTCATCCGCAACTATAACAAAAATTAAATAAATATACGAGTAACAGAACACGTTGTATTTAAATAACTCCTTTAAAATAGTAAGATAAGAAATATGTATACAATAATTAATTAAAGTGTATTCCGTCCGATCGATTTGTATAGGCATCGTAATAGGTATACAAGAATATAGAGATACCGACTAATATAAAACGCCTCGTAAAAGTAATTCACCTAGAAACCATAATCGAGATTTCAACAAATAATCCTATCGACATTTAATTGCTTTTCGTTTTTAATGCCGCGAACAGATTATAAAATAAAAACCTTAATAAAAAAAAGACCACGGGGTACCGTGGATCCCTTATGGACTCGCGCCGCTTTCATCGCCGCGCATGACGCGCGTTAAACCGCCGTATGAGCCTCCCGATAATTATCACAAACGGTAACTGACAAAGATTTCGAAATGAGTTTTCATTTTTTTTTTTCTATGGATAGATCATAATAATTATCGTCTATCTGTACAGCTTAATCAAAATCCTATGCAGTGTGTTATTAAAGTTTTCAGATTCAACGAATATTATATAATGCACGTAGAGTTCATCGGAATATATTTGTCCCCGGGACATGTGAATTCAAATAAATACAGGTGTGCTGACGTGTTGTGCGTATATAATATATGTATGAATTGCCTATTTTAGAAAATTTAAATGTAAATCCGATGACACAAATATTCTTTTGCATTTATTATAATACAAGTACCTACTTCCTACGTATTTATAATTCACGTAACGCGCATAATAACATTATAAAAACGCGGAAATCAAAAATAAAACGAATGCGATGTAGAGCACGTGGAGGACAAACACATTATTATTATTATTATTATTATTATTATTATTATAATTCTTTATTGACGGAAAATATTCCGTTTACAAAACAATCTACATGTAAAATTGCAATGTGTAGTATTAAGATTACATTAAAAGCACAATATGACAAACAAAATTATATAATTTACAATCAACTAAAAATATATTTCCTTAATATTTTTTATAGTCATCAGTATATTAGCAGGTGATGATCGTAAATAATTTTTAAAAATATTATTAATTAAAAATCAGTCTTGATTGCTTGTAGATTTATTAATTATTCGAAAATTTAATTGTTCCAACAAACAAGGATAATCTATGTAATTGTTTAATAATTTTAATAAAAATAGATAGTGGAGAAAATTTCTTTATTTATTTAATGATTTTAAATTAAAATATGACAATAAATAATTATACTCAGTATGCCGTGGGCGTTCAACTTTAAATTTGAAAGATAGAAAACGGAAAAAACAATTTTGAATTATACACACATTTTATTTGAGTACTAAATAAGGGGAGTTATATTATAATTATGATCTGACAAATACAAAATATTAATTTTTTAAAGCATCAAATCTGTTATTATTTAAATATGACGGTTGAAACATAGATAGAGTCAAAAGTAACACATAAGTTGATAAATGCGACATAATATCATATAATTGATTCTATATAGAGATGTTGTTTTGCTTTTAATTATAATCAACATTAGATTTTCTGATATTGAATGTTCATCTTTTGCATTTATTGATATTAAAACACAACCCATTTAAATTACACTAATTATAAATTTTTTTTAAATAATCATGTAAATTAATACAGTTATGGATTGAACCTATTTTTATAAAAATAATTTGGCATCATCAGCTAACAATAGAATCGTCCTACTAAATTATCTTATGATGTATAAATAAAGTTTGGTTAGGTGAAATAATCTAAAATTTCACATTATTTATATAGTCCACACTAATTTTAAACTTGTTTTTTTCTAGACAGAAGTAAGCGTACGTCGTTTTTTGTTTATTATTATTTAGACGCAGCCACCAAAAGTGTTACCCTGCACACTTCGGACGGTTTGCCCGACAACAGACAACCATAATAATATTGTATCGAATCGCGTTTATAAACAACATATTATATTAACACAATAATAATAATATGTACGGTTATCCTGCAACTACAGCGAAGCGAAAACATTAAAACAAGAGCGAACAAAATATGACTATCGTCCGGCAGAGAGATGCGAATTTGGTACCGATCGTGTGGCAAGCGAGTCACATGATCGGGTACGCGTTGACGGCCGTGATGGCCATGGCTTGTAGCATCATGTTCTACTTGGCCGTGGCGGAATCAAATCATCGGTGTTACATATACAACGATGTACTTATCGTGCAGGAAGAGTCCAGGGAGAATAATCAGACGTTATTGTCCGACGAAACGGTCTGGTACAGGAACTCGAACTGTTACGACCCGTTCACGTTTTTGTTGAGATTGTTCGTCAGCTCGGTCGTGTGGATGATTTTGTTCCTGATTTTTGGCCGCGGTGGATCTTCTATATCCGAGGAGAACGATCACAGAAAGTACTTCAGGTCCGTATAGTCCGTACTTCCTATATTCTTTTGCAAACCGTGAGTTGGTTACTGTAACCGATCGATTCCATAGCCTGACCTTGCTTTATGGTACGGGGTGTTCAATACGTGTCGAAGTGCATCTTCTGAGTTATTTCGAAATTGCGCGAAAGACGTATGCTATTGTAATTATGTGATTGTTACGGGGTTCGTTAGTTGCTCTGTATGCTGACATTGTTATTGTATACTTTGACATTTCTTCGTATCTACACACACACACACACACATAATTTTAAGTATTTCGTAAGTTTGCTGTTGTCTATGTTTTATGTATCCATGGCCTCTTATTAGTAGCCATAACATTGCCGCGTAAAAACAATTTCTATACTTGTTTGTAATGTAAATTTTGTATTTTTTTTCCTTTTAAAACAGTGACATGGTCGGACAATGGCATGTGGTCTTCTTCGCCCTTTGCTTCAATTTTTGGTATTTTTTACAAACAATCATAATCTCTTCGAGGTTCACTAATGGTTATCTAATTTTTGTCGCAACCCTATCATATGCATCAACAGACAATTATTTTCGCAATCAATTGTAAGAGTATACGTTAGAATTAACCTCCTTCACCCCGTTGTGTCGACGACTTTAGTATATAGATTTAAATATTTGATATAAGGTATTTTGTTTCAGCGAACGTTTTGAGAAACTGTATTACATTAAAACTATAGTAAGTATTAGAAGTATTAGCTACACAATTTAACAATTTTAGAGTCGATCCGGTGCAAATAGTTATAATTTAAAGTCCAAGTAGGTAGTAAGATATATTTGATTTGATTATAGATTTTTAACATGTAGGTACAGCAGATGGGAATGATCAGAACAATTCAGCAATGGCTATTTTGAAAAATAAATAGCAATTATTTATAAATAATAAACTTAAGAAAAAGATTAAACATAAATAATTAAATACTTAATAGTATTAAGAGGATTGTCAGCGCAGTGTTTATATTTCTTTCTAACCTATGTGCAACAAATCATTTTTCATAGTTTTGAGCGTTTTAAATATAATTTTGTTTAAAATATTGTCTTAAAATAATATATTTAAAGGTACATTTAAATCTACAATTAATTTTTTTATTCTTAAACTGATATAACTTGTAAAATAAAAAATCCAAGTTATTTTCTAATAATAATATAATATTTTTGACTTCTACGTGGAAATTAAATAATATTCAAAAATTTGTATCGTTATGTATATTATATTATCGACGTATCGCGAGGCGCCTAACTACACGATATGAATTTCTTGTAAAATATTATAAATCTTAGTATTAATATCAACTAATATGTTTTTTTCTAAATTTATTTTTAACTAATATAGTAATATTTGAACTTAATTAATCGAAGTATAATACGTCACAGGTATTATTTTGGTGTCAAAGTTTTTTGTGTACGTTTAATTTTCTATTGACTATTTATCGCTGCGCCATGGGTGTGGACTTCGAAGTAGATTTAAACAGCGACAACAATGATGAGCAGGACGATGCGATGATCGCTGGTCCTTCAAATCAAACGAAAGCAACAATAGTTTGCAGTCCGTGGTTTTGTACGGAGACATCACACTAGATTATGTCAGCTCAAAGTCATCGTGAAAAATTTAAAGCCAAAATACTCGTAGAATTTTATAAAAATTCTGGTATTCGATTTATGTCGAATCGATACTTCAAAACGTATTTTCAAATATATTACAATATATAATTCATATAATATAAAGGTTTTCATTATTTTATTTATCATTACCATTATAATCGTGGATACATAATAATAATAATATATGGAAATGACTAAATGCTAATTGTATTCATCTAAAATCATTTCCTACGTTACTACTGGAAAAAAAATTACTAGTGATGGTGTAAAATAGATAGAAATAACGGGCAAACGGGCAGAACGAAACAATAAAATAAAAAAAAAAAAATGAATATACCGTTTGCAACACGTTACGAATTTCTGTGGGTTGTCGAGTATAGATATATTTTTTTTTCGCCATCATCGACTACACGAAGAAAAACGTAACTATTGCGGTGGTTTCGGTCGTCGCTGTGAATTAGTATAGTAAAAGAAGACAAGAGGAAAAAAATATCATATAAAAGGAACAAGACGGTCACAGGTCACTAACGGGGTTAGACGAGCGTTGTGGGTGTCGGTCAGACGGCGGCGTTATAATACTATACAGCTGCGGTGATGATCGATACGAATTCCTTGATAATTATTATTGAACAAATTGATTTGGGAGAACGAAACGGGTGAAGAAAAAAAAATTCTAATCTATTGGTATATAATATAATAATATTATACATATGATCAATATTTCGTATAACAGTTATAACGATATAATATGATATAACGTCTATAATATATCGTATATTACCTATATATGTGCACCGGGCCGCTCGGAAGATGGGTTTAATGACTGGCGTATATTATATACTTATAGACGACTTCGGTGATGGCGGATAGGTGTGAAGTGTATGTGCGTGTATGATATGTGACGGACGCCCGGCGCGGATCATTAATAATGGACACCGTGGGATGCCTATATATATATATATATATATATATTGTATATATATATGTGTAATATATAACCGACTAAACAAGGCGTTTATCGTCTTCGTCGTCGCGCGGTTTATTTGGATTCTCCTCTCGAGTTACGATGGGTACAGGCAATATAATATTACACGTTATGAGGCTGAAGTTTAAACATTATTACAAGACGATGACTCGGCGGCGCCTGCTAGAATAAAGTCCGTCGGTTATATTGTGGTGCCGCCCGCGGGAGGCTGAGCTCTGCAAGCCGGGTGCTGCAGGGGTTGAAGGTAGTGAAATTTCCCTACCCGACGATTTTCTCATCGTTATTTCATCCATCGTGCTTTGTCCGGGGAAAAAAAAGTATCTAATAAGCCGCTCAGCGTATATTATGTTATGTCACGAAATCGTGTAGAAATCACGAGTATATTCGGACGTTGGCGTTGTCGCTACGACCGAGTTTGCCGGCCATAACGAACGAGACTTACAAGTAGGTATCTATTCGAATTTTCGATTATCGCCAACGCAATAAGGAAAGACGTCGAAAAGTCGTCTCACTTCTCATTTTGCGCGGCGATTTCGGGAAATAAAATACACTCTGAACACACAATATAATGTACGCGTAATGTGTGCATATATATAAATAAATATGAGTATTTAAGTTGTACCAGTGTGTCTATGTAGGTATTATTGAACGTTAGCTCGCCGCGAGCACACTGTGTGGCCCCGGAACGCCGGTCGTTAGTTTTTGAAATTATTGCTCGACCGGCCAAGGACGACGTTGCGTGTGTGTGTGTACATATATATATTTGCAAACGATATTTCGTCGATGAACAATAATAATAATAATAATAATAATATCGAATAATTGGACGTCGTCGCGCAGTCATCGTTTAACCTATACGTAACGTGCTCGTTTAATTGGCCTCCGTTGAGCGTTTGATTGGCTGTTGCCGAGTCGTCAGGGGAAATAAAATCAATGCGTGTGCGGTACGCGTAAATCGCGAAAAATCGGAACAGACGACGGGGGCCGGAACAGATGGTTTTAATGAGTCAAGGAGAGCGTCGCTCGTCAAATGTGCGTCTCCGCCGGTCACATAAATCGTATTAGATTGTTCAATTTTATAAAAGAATTATTTATGTTTGACCAGAACGCGCATAATGATATATTATATAATTTTATGCCGGACTAGATAATAGCAATAATACCTGCTTTGAAATAATTAGTTATTAGTGCGTCATTACATGAGTTTGAGGACGCAAATTACATTTTATACCATTCCAAACTTAAATCTTGTGTTTTGGCTTATCCGCCAAATCATCAAAGTTTAACCACGTTGACCACGTTTACCATAAGTCCGAAATCTCACCCGTATACACGAGTATTCGTCGATATACACGTCTACTGTGTGAATAATTATAAAATAACGAGTTCGACGTGTAACTCTATAGGTAACAGGCTTATAATAAGACCCGTATACAACGTTTATATTATTATTGTTGTTGTTTTTGTTGTTGTTGTTATCGTATAGTTGTTGTTGTACGGCGTTTGCAAACAACATAACGATTTACGATTATAATAATATTATGTAATACCCATTACAACCTAATAATTTTTATTATTATACGCGTCTTCGGTGAGAACAAAAAAAAAAAAAAAATTTGTTTGAACACAATGCGGCGGCGTTTGATGGTACAAAAGAAAAAAAAAAGCCCATCATCGACGAAATGGTTTTCGAGCTAGAGCCGCGTGTCAATACCTATTTCACACACATACACACATACCCACTTGTATTATATATATATATATATTAATATATTATTATATCGCGCGTGTGTGTGTGTGTGTGTGAAGTAGGGACCGACCACCCGGCGAGGAGAACGCATGCTGAGCGCCGCGTTGTCGTCGAGTCCGTCCGACGGCGTATACACCGTTCGAGCGCGTATCACATCGCGGAGACCTGCAGGACGGAGGACGCAAAACAATCACGGTACGACATGTTTTCGTACGCGCGGACGAATTATTGTAGACGATACCCACCATCGCGTTATTATTACGGAGGAAGGTTGTCGCACACTGCGCAGAGCTGGTTCGGATCGGAGCGCAATCGAAATTTCGTCGCCGAAGCCGTCGGAACCGAAACGAATTTCAATCCGTATACAATACAGCTGTCGGAACGATTCGGAATCACGGGACCGAAATTAGAACTTATTAGTCGAACGCGTGTTCATTACTAGGGTGTTTTGATTACCGGTCAGTTGTCAAGGTGTATCAGTTGTATAGTGTTGCTGTGACGTCTCGACAAACGGTTATGACATTCAAATTAAATATCAATGATTTAATATTTTTATACTTATTTAAAATAATTTGATGCAATAAAAATGATTTTCGATAAATAAACGACGCGCGATACATAACAGAAAGTTTGACTACGTTAAAACCTCTGCTTTGAAAATGTATATGTACGCGAATTCTTTGATATACGATATTTTATTTTGTCCTATTCGATTCCATCATGTTCGATTTCCATAGTTAATACCAATAGAACCTATGTCTTATGAGGTCACAATAGCTCATATGACCTCCTATTTAAAAGTGAGAGTACAAACTTTTATTGTTGGTGTATGAGATAAAATTTAAATAGATACACGGTTTACAGTAACCTCTGCATATTTTTATCGAATTTTTTCACACTTGATTAATATTATAAAATCAAAATAATCATTATTGGGGTAAAAAAATCTATAATTATTTCAAATATTTTAAAAATACAAAATCATACCTGAAGCTTGGGTAAGTATAATTAATATAGCCGTTATAATAACAAACTGCGTTTCAAAGATGTACAATACGTAATATCATAAAAGTCCTTGTTCATAGATCGATCGAATCTCCTAAACGTGCGTAAGAGGTAAAAAATAATAATGATACCGATTTGTTTTAAAAAAAAAAAGAAACGCATCACAACACGTCCACTCTCACATTTTTTTTTTTATCATCAACGCATATATTAATACGCGGTAAAATTCTGAGGAATTATATTATGTTACAACAATCGAGACTGCGCGTGTCTACACCTTAAAATAAAATAGCCTTAGGATTGTTAATCATTTCGAAGAATAAGCAAATCGCGACGAATGCATATAAACCGCTGCCGTTGATAATGTAACGCATTATTATTATTGTTATTACGCGGACACCTCATCACCTTATCAATCACGATAACCTACTTGCAGGACTCTATTCGGTTATTAACTGTTTTCGCCCAGCACACTGTTTTTGGTCACTATAATTTTAAATAAAAAAAACCAAACATATGACATAAAAAATTTAATTATGTTTCTTTTGTTTCATATTCATAATGTTTAGATTAAAAAAAAAAAAAAAAATACGAGACAGTTTAAAATAAAATAGAATCAACATTTATATAGATCAGCACGATAAGAGTCATTTTTTTTCGTTAATAATCAATTAATTTATGTATGAAAACAGTAGAAATCAATAAAGTATGGTATAATTGATATATTTAATTTTTTTATTATAATAGCAGATGCATTTAATAAATTCGATACTCCTAATTTTAATATTTTATAATATTAATGGAGTTTTTGTCCTGACGATTCTAAACTTTTAAATTTTACAATATGACTTAACGTTAATTGTTACTACAGAATGGCTGAAAAGGAAAAAGTTAATTTTAATCGAAAACTGTTTCACCTCTTGCGTCTGTGCAACAAAAAATGATTGGGCCTATTTTAACATTTTAATTTTTTTATTGAAAATTTCACAAGTATATTTAGGTGAAAGATAGTTACATCCTATACAAGATGAAAAATATGTCAAGCCATTCATAAGTCTATTGATATCGTTGTAACAATAACTACTTTAATTAACAAGTAGCAAAAAAAAAAAAAAAACCTTAACTGTATCAATTACAATGATGTCTACGATTAAGGTGGGAATTGAATTTGTTTGTAAAATAATTTTCATATTTAATTTATTGTTGTCTCTAGTAAACAGTAAGAACTCGTGTGCA